GAGAGCGGGGTCTGGGGATCCCCTCGGGGGCTGCGGGGAGCGCGGCTGGGGGGGGAAAGGCTGGAGGGCTGGGGGGGGTTTAACGCGGGGGGTTCGGAGGTTCCCAAGGGTCAGAGCGCAGGGCCTTGGAACCGTCTCGGGGGCCGCGGGGCCCGGAGGCCTCCCAAGAACCCGCAGTTCGATTCGGTTCCTGAGAAAGTCCTTCGGAAAAAAAAATTCGAAACCACTCAACCAAAAAAAGAACCCTAAAAAAAGGAAAAGTGAGAAAAAGCTGAAGGAAAAACTGCAAGGGCCAGGATGATTTGATTGCTTTGCTTCAGTTTTGCCCTGGTCTCCTCCTTCTCAGAATCTTTGCTCCCTTCCTTTACAGAAAGCTCTTCTGCTGTTCTGTGGTTTTGTGGTCCCTTAGGGGCTTTTAGAGGTCCCTGAGGAGGTTTTGGGGGTCTCTGAGGAGCTTTGGTGTCGCGAAAGGACTTAGGGGGGGAGGTCGAAGGTCGTTGAAGGTCCCTGAAGGGGTTTGGGAATCCCTGAGGAAGTTTTGGAGTTTCTGAGGGAATTGAGAGGTCCTTGGGGGCTTTGGGGGGGGTGTCTTTGAAGCAGTTTTGTGGGTTTCTAGGGGGTTTTAGGGAGTCCAAGACGGTTTTGAGGGTCCCTGAGGGGGTTTTTGAGGTCCCTGAAAGGGCTTGGGGGTCCCAGGTGGGTTTTGCAGGTCACTGAGAGGGTTTAGGGGGTCCTGGGGGGGGCGAGATGAGGTCTCTGAGGGGACTTGGGGTGTTTTTGAGGAGGTTTGATGGGTCCAGAGGTGGATTTCTGAGGGGGTTTCAGGGGTTTTGCCTGGATTTTGGGGGGTCTCCGTGTCAGTCCTGTCTGGCCACGGCCAACTAAAACTCCTATAAGGCCATTTCCCATCCCACCACAGCGCCTCTGCCAGCCCAGCAGACAGACTCCAGGGAAAGGGGATCCCAATTCCCCCCTCGAACCCCAGAGACCTCCAAAACTCAGCACACAGAGACCCCAAAGGAAGGGGGACCTGG